ATTTTTCTTTCCCCCCTTGTACTCGTAATCGAGACGCATCGCGGCTCTCATCCGCACACACGCGGGAGTCGTTACCTTCTACAGATTGGGGGAAGTTTCGCCGTTTCCCCATATGGCACCGGAGGCACTCTAATCTCCGGACGGCGACGGCTTTCAAGTCGCGCGGACGGGGCGCGCGTGCCCTCGTGGACAGGGCCGATATATCAGGGACGAGAGAACGCTCGTTTTTCGGGCTCTAATCATCTTCGAGCGTCTAATCATTCTCCGAACGGGAACGTAATCGAGCAGTCGGAACGCTCAACAGGGCTTTCACCCCCCTTTTTCTCACGCGATGTACTTTGTGATGTAGTTAAAGCGAATGCTACGGTAACGGAAATTTGTACACGTTGAACAAAATGAACATTTTTCTTCGCATAGAGGGACGGTAAATATTAATAAATAATAATAACAATAAATATTAATAATAATAATAAATATTCCAAATTGAATTGAATTTATTTGCAGTTGGCCGCGCTCGATGGCTAAATTTTATCAGCTTCCATGTAGATTCTCTCTCTCTCTCTCTCAATCTTTTTTTTTCCTTCTCTCTCTTTCTCCCTTGCGGCGACCTTCTGACGGCGGGTCGTTTCTGATCGTGAAAAATTGACGGGTCGCGCGCGAGCGGCGGACCTGATGTCCCCGATACTCTTCCCGTCTTTCCGCGGACCGGATATGCGCGCGATCCTGACGAGAATAAAAGGGGAAATAAGCGCGGATTGTTTTCGAACGCGCAGGGGCGGGATTTTATCGGGGTATCGACTCGGGCGCGCGGAAAGTCGGCGGATCCATTTCTTCCGGAAGCTATGAAACAAAACGTCGTCGCGCGTTTAGCGCGATATCGCGAGATATACCGGCGGAGTGATAATCGTAAATGTATTTACTGCGATGTATAAATCGCGCGAATGCGAATCGCGATGCTCCTGCCGGCGCTTCACCACCGCGCGTGTCACCTCGCCCTTTATCCAAAGGCGGGGGGGGGGGGAAAGGAGGAAGAAGGGAGAAAGAACGGAGAATTCATGCTGAGGATTCACGTCGTCCTCCTCAAAGAGGCGGAAACGACTCGACGTCGACCAGGCGCGATCGCGCCGTGCGAGATCCGTCAACGAGGTCGACCTCGCCGTCCGGGATCCCGAGGGCTGCGCGCCCAGTCAGCGCGATCTCAAGAATGAGAATGTATAATCCGCGTAGGGAGTGATAAACCGCGCGCGAACACTCGTACCGGTACGAGGGAGTAATCCGATAATCCCATTAGACGAGCTTCCATAAAATCATTAATCGCCAGCCCGCCGCGCCGCCGCGCCGGCGGCCCGAACGGTTAAACGTGGCCCTAATCCCGGCTCGGTATTCACATCGGTTTCGAAGCCACATCCGCACTGCGGTGAAATCAACCGCGCCCGCGTTCGCGGAGCGCGTCTTATCGGTCGGGCTTTGCCGGGCGTCGTTTGCATTTGAACGAACGCGAGCTGTTGGGAACAAGCCCTGAATTTGTCTTGCCGAGCGGGGCGGGGCGGTGCGGCGGTGAGAGCGGCACTTCTTCTGAAAGCTCGATCCCTTTTTTCCCTTTTCCTCCGGCCGAGACGCGAGATTGATCCTTTCTCGCCGAAAACGAACGCGTAATCTGGCGCGAATACATAAACTTCGTGATATGACGAGAGAAAACTTTTCCTCTTTCTCTCATTAATTCGATCTTTTGAGTAGATTCTCCGTGTCCGCGACGCAAGAATACCGTCGACCGTACTTTGCGGTCGAATCGGATGATCGACAAGACACCGATAGAGATTCGAATAACGCGGCCTGGAAGCGCCGCGATTGTCGCGCGGAAGGACGAAAATCAAACAATCGCGCAACACGGACTAGGCGCGAATTTCCTCAGGGCAACGGAGGGGCGAAAGGGAGGGAGTGGGGTGAGCGAGGCAGGGTGGCAATTTTCTGCTGACGATTGTCTAATCTATCGAAAACAACACGCGAGGAGAATGTTTCTGTTTCTCATTAGCGACTCCATTAGCGGAATGCTCGCGCACGATATTAGGGCGCAATGTAAATTGGCAGGATTAAATGCATCGGACGATTGCATCAATCTCATTAAGCGACGCGCATAATGTTTGGCGAGAGAGATAGGTAGATAGACAGATAGATAGATAGATAGAGAGGGAGAGAGAGAGAGAGAGAGAAGGGGGGCGAAGCGGAGTGAGAGGGTAGAAGCGGCAGGCGCAAGCGGAGGTGGTTGGGGTTGGTAACGATGTTTGGGGATGCTCCGATAATTATCGAATCTCTCGGCGTTGTTTGCGCCGGGCAAATCGAAAATAATAGAATATTCGAGCGCTCTCGTCCGCACGAGGTTACGATGCCGCGTCTTGCATTCTTGGATTGCTTAACGCGACATTACTCTTTCACAAGCGGGAACTCGATGCGCGCGCGACTTGTCAAATACCGACCTTGAAAAGTTCTTCTCCCGTCAGTTCTCCCCGAGACGGACTGTGCTCCTCGCCATCGATGTCTGAAATATTTCAGCACGCTTTCGTGCACGCGCGACATTTCGTCCAGTTAAAGCGGAATCTTCGAGAATAACAAAGCGCAGTTTGCGAGCGATTATCCTACTCAATTTCGAGCGCAGAAGCAACAGGAACCGAGATGAGTGACGAAGCGAAACGCGCGCAACGTACTTTATCGCGCAGCTCGATCGAATTGTCATCTTCGATCTTCCTACTCGCGCGTCAGCGCCTGTTAATCCAATTATCGCGTGCAGTTCAGCGCGCCTTTGCTTAGCGGAAGTCACGGGAAGCAGACGGAAATCTATGGAAACGAGATATACAGGGTGTGTCAGATCACCCCGTCCACGTCCCTCGAGCTTTTTGTAACATTCGCGACATTCAAGAAGAAAATGCTTCAGACGAAAGTTGTACGATTTCAAGGGGGATATAAAACAACAATATCAGTTTGTTTGCAGGTGGCGCCACTTTCGAGATATTCATCGATCATTACTTTTCTTTCAAATAGAAACATCAATTTTTTATTACATCATCTTTTTCTACCAATCGATCTGAACAACCCTTGTCCGAAACATTTTCTTGTTATTTACCTAATATTTTTTGAGATACTTAAGGAAAACTCGGTGACTTTTTCAATATTTAACTCACGGAACGAGGGAAGGAAAAGCGGTATTGGACTCTTTTTTACTGAAAATCTCTCTCTTCTCCTCTATCCAGCTCAACGTAGGTGGGATAATGAAAAGGACTTGTCGCAGCGCGACAATATGAGCGATTTCAGGGGGAAACTAAAAAAAACTGCTGTTCGCGTTTCGACGAGACACCCTGCGAAATCCGAAATAAACGTTTATTCTTTCGCCGAGCAGGTCGCTAACAAGCGAGTCATTCGGGATCTATTCTGCAGTCGATTGCCTACATAATCGCGGGCATTAGCCGGCGCATAAATCCACCTCGGCGCGCTCGTTCGCGCACAACAGATGTACCATTAGAGAGAGAGTCTAAACTTTTCAATGAACAGCCGCCTCGCTCGTTCGTCATTTGGAACGACGCTCGGGACACGCCGCGATTTTCCGCCAGATCGCGTCCGCTGATTCTCGCTCCGTCGAGCGCTCGAAGCGGATTCGTCTCCGCGCGGAGGAGGACGTTAAGTCGCGGCCGATCGTTGTCGAGAGCGCGCGAGTCAGACGACCGCGAAAGATTCTCGATCGCGCACGCTCCGTCGCTCCGTCGAGGCCTCGAGGTTTGCACCGCGTCGTCGGACGCGAGATTGAACGACCGTAGGGAACGGTCGGGGGGAGGGGGGTGGGGATGATGATTGTAGCGTAAGGGATTGTACCGTGTCGTATGATGCGACCGCGGGGCATCGTCGTCTGATTGCTGTCACAATGAGCTTATTATCCCTAAGAAGCTAGAGAAGTCTTAACGGCTAGACTCGACGGCTTAACTACGTCGTCGATAATACGCTAATATACATTGCGCTCGTAGGTACAGTATAGCTTCCTAAGTGTGCTAACCGCTAAGTGTCCTAAGTAGCCTAAGTAGTCCTACCTATCGGTGAAAAAATGAGAACGCGCCGCTACTCGCGAACGGCGCGCGCTAATCACGGTTGATGCTGTGCGTTACTGACGTCCCCGATGTGTGTCCGCGGTGCGTCGCGGGCGTCTGCCCGTTGCAAAAAGGAGGACACACTGAGAATCGATCGATCCTTCTCTTCTGAGAACTCTGAAACGGAGACGTTGTTTGTGCGCCCGACGAGAGGCGCGCCGTCCGAGAGGGATCCTTGAGCGCGCGTCGAAAAGCCTGGAGAACGGCGCGCGGCGGACAATGTCCTGAAAACCGACGCTAGATCGGCGGCAGCAGCGGGCGCGGGCGGAGGGGGAGGTAGGGGGGATAGTCCCTGGAAGAGTATCACTGCATTATGCATAATCGAGGTGGAAATAATTTGAAGCGAATGACGACGATGATCTCGCTTTCTCTCTCTCTCTCTCTCTCTCTCTCTCTCTCTCTCTCTCCTCTCTCTCTCTCTCTCTCTCTCTCTCTCTCTCTCTCTCTCTCTCTCTCTCTCTCTCTCTCTCTCTCTCTCTCTCTCCTCTCTCTCTCTCTCTCTCTCTCTCTCTCTCTCTCTCTCTCTCTCTCTCTCTCTCTCTCTCTCTCTCTCTCTCTCTCTCTCTCTCTCGGCGAGATCCTTCCTCCTCCTTCCTCGCGCCCGTTGAACTTCGCTCTGCCCTCAAGGATCGATCTCGTCGACGTCGCTGGCTGATTAAATGAAATCCGACGGAAATCGTAATGGCGTAGAAACTACGTACAACGCGATTGAAAAAGTGCTAAAATAGCGATTGGTTTCTTCTGTGGTTCGCTCGTTTTCTCTTGCCCCCTCTCTTATTTTCTCTCTCTCTCTCTCTCTCTCTCTCTCTCTCTCTCTCACTCTCTCTCTCACTCTCTCTCTCTCTCTCTCTCTCTCTCTCTCTCTCTCTCTCTCTCTCTCTCTCTCTCTTTCATTCTCATTCTCACATTATCTTCAGCTCTCGCACACACGCACGCATCCTCTGGCACACACTTGCTCTCCCGCTCTCACCGTTCTCACACTGTCGTCGTCCCTCTAACTTTTTCTTTGGTTTGTCTTTCGCTCTGCCCCCCACCCCAGCCCCGCGCTTCTACACTTCTCTCTCGTCACTCGATTACGACTTAATTATTACAAAGATGGTTGTACAATAATATAATATATAGACTCTGTATTAGTTACAATAATATCATAGCGTCTCCTACGTCACGTTCGGCCTTCCTCATCGTCACTATAATCGCGAGAATCGGAACTGATTAATGGAGTTCCTTCGGATTAACGTCTCCACACTCCATACACCTCCGTGTACAAGCGCAACATCCTCCTCGTTATCACCGTTCTCTCGAGCGTGCCAACGCCGCGTACCTATGTGTGTGTGTGTGTGTGTGTGTGTGTGTGTGTGTGTGTTATGTGTGTATGCATGTATGCGTGTTTCTGTCTTGTATGCATGTGTCTCTTTCTTTCCATCCCTCTCTCTCTCTCTCTCTGTATATGCGCGTCTTGTATCTTTATTGCTTATTGCTTACGTTAACGTTCGCGCCGAAGAGGATCGTCGGAGAAACGTCGTCCGTGCGCATCCCGTCGCGATTCACCGGCCGGTCGCTCTCCTACGAGACGAAGGCGCCGCTCGGATCTTCGGGATGACGTTCGCGCGCGACGAATCCTTCGGGATATTCGATCGTTCTTGAGCGATGGGAACTTTTGGGTAATCGGCCGGCAACTCCGCGTTCGCCAACAGGCGAAAGTCTTCTCGCCGTCTTCTCCGCGGCGCGACGTGCGCTTGCTCGCGGCGAAATCTTGACGCGCGGATAAAGAAAAATGCTCAGGCGGTGAGCCGTGAGCCTCGAGGAAGCGCGCAGCCAGCTGCAGGTGCCGGGAATTCACGGAGAGATCACGGACAGGAAAAGAAAAAGCGGCAACTCCAAAGAGGAGATCGCCGCAATGAGACTCTCCGCAAGTACGCTCGCCTCGCTCCCGTGGCTCCGATACTGTTATTGCCCTTTTTGCGTGTTCCTCGTCGCGTCTAACGACCTCCCGATCTCCCCGAGCCTCGGCTGCGCCCGCGCGCTGAAAAGTAACGCGCGACATATTTAACGTGTTATACCGTCCAAGATCTCACCGGCTCAATTGGGGCTCGTTAAGCCTCCGCTTGTGCGCGACGCGCACGTCACTCGTTGCTCCTGCGAACGCGCGGCTCACCGGCAATCACACTTCCCTTTATCCCTCGTGGCGTGTCGCTTAGTCAGGACGAGGCGAGAGGTGGCTCTCTCTCTCTCTCTCTTTCTCTCTCTCTCCTCCCCTCCCTCCCTCCCTCTTTCTCTTCCGCTCGATCCGATCGAAGAGCGACGGCACGGTGTTCGCCGCGGGTAATTACATGTAATTATCGATATAATTATTACGTGTCGTCGATTACTCGGTATTTATCGAGAGGGTACGTGCCCGAGAATGAGCAAAGAAATGAGCGTTCTCGCCCGGCGAAGAAAATATTTACCGAGTAAATGCTCTCTCGCTTTTTTGCACTTATCGAGGGGATATAGTCTCTTCGTGTAGTATTCTCTTCCCTCTCTCTCTCTCTCTCTCTCTCTCTCTCTCTGCTCCTTTATCCGTCTTAAAAAGTAACGATCGCACTTCTTACTGGTTAGAACGAGAGAGAGAGAGAGAGAGAGAGAGAGAGAGAGAGAGAGAGAGAGGACTCCGACGATCGGTCCCTGCACGGCGAGTCGCGTCTTTCGCGCTCTGACCGAGGCTCGCGCCGATCGTCGCGACACCGCGATATCCTTCGTGATGTGATATGGTCTAACCATAAAAATCGCTCGATAACTTCTCGTCAGCTCCGCCCGACAGACTTCAATTAGCTAGTGCCTAACGCGCCTATGTCCGGTAAAAAAAGCTACTGGCCGGGGGAAACCCACGCTCGATCTCCTCTCGTCGCTTCGGCTCGCGTCGCGCACTACCGTCGCCGATTGTCCTTCCATTCACAAGCGCGCCTCTGCCCGAGGTCGTCCTTCTCGGGGTCAAGCAGGATCTCGACGCGATCACTCCGATTTCCGCCGTTTTCCCTCTTGCCACTCTTATCCGTTCGATTCTCCACGACGACGGGGTGGGCGGCTGGCCGCCTGCTCGTTCGCGAAACGCGACGCGATCGCACGAGCGCGAATTTCTCCCGACAGCTTTGAAGAAACTAACAGAAGCCGCGAACACGTCCGAACCCGCCGACGACGACGGCTTCCTCTCTCTCTCTCTCTCTCTCTCTCGTCCCTCGCGTCTCTCCTTCATCCGCGGCCGAAAATGTCGCACTCTCTTGATCCTTCCTCAGCCTCCGCCCGTTAGCGCGTCATCAGTGTCCTTCGTCACCACGACCACACTGAGTGTCCGGCGACGCTGTCGACTAATCGCCTAAGGACGTGTCCTCGGGTGATTTTGAGTAGGTCGCGCTTTCGATTAGAATCACCTGAATATCGCGGCGACCGCTGTCAGCAGGACGATCGTCAGCAGGTACGTCGGTCGGCCGATCCGCCCGCCGTTCGCTTCCATGCATTGACCTGGAACGACAGGAGTGACGGATACTTAAGACCTCGCGGGGAGAGAGAAATGTCGTCGCAGGAGCGCGCGTCAGCAGGAAGGGGGGAATGGAGAACCATCGCGTTATCTCGGCTGCGAGCCGGCGGAGAGCACGGCGCCGTGATAAATCACGGTTATTATACACAATATATACGCGTGCACACACGTCCGAGTGAAAATCAAGGCCGCCGGGGTAAAACGGACAACGTAATTAATGCGAGGATAATATATCCTGCATATTTAACGGTTACTTCGCGCCTGCGAGATAGCCTTAGGTCTAGCGACGCATAATTCAGCAGCGTTTATCAACGCGCTGTCGCAGTCTATTTGTCACAGAGAGCTGTCGCGCGCGCGCGCGCGTGCGAATGTCGCGGCAGATTATGCGTGGCTGTCACGCACTCCCCGCGACGAGATTTCAAGCGACGCAATGGATGACAATCGCTGACTCTGCGCTTTCGATTGGATGGCGCAGCCTGATGTCACGGGCGAAGTTATTGGACTATGTTGAACCGTTATGCGGCAAAACGGGGGAGGATTTCTCGTCGCTTCCCGTCGCCGCTCGCGTGAATTCGCCTGCCAGTTGAGCCTGCCTCCGATCGAGCGGGGTGAAACCAGGACTGTCCGGTATAGCCTGACACTTTCGGGCTACACCCGGATTTCATCAAATATCGACATATATATATATATATATGTATGTATACGCGGTGAAGGGGAAATCGAGTAAAGAATCGAGTAACAATTGATAAATACCCCCCGTGCGCGTCTCGAAATCCGCGCGAGAGAGAGAAGGGCCGAAAATCTGGCAGAGAGTGCCGGTCGTTGCACCCCAGCGAAGTACCATAGCGAGTTAGAAGGTTAGCCCCCTCCTCGTTTCCCACTCGCGCCAAGGCAGGGCGCGAGGAATGAAGCGAGGAATGAAGCGCCGGACGACGCGAAAGTTTCGCCGAAAAATCCGCCGTAAAACCGCGAGGGAGGGACTCGATCGAATAATCTCGGCCGGCCCTTTAAACGCCGCGCGCGCGCGCGCTCGCGGCGCGCACACCGCGATTGTACTCCCGCTGTTGTTCTCAGTGTTCTTTCTCTGTTCGTTGGCCGCGCCGCCGGTTTCACCAGCGCGCGCGCGCGCGCGTGCAGTCGGTGATAAAACGACGCTAAGCGTCGACTACGGGCAGGAAGGGGTTAATGAAGGTTGCCACTTACCGGTGCTGGTTGCGTTGAAGGCCAACAGCGGCGGGGGCGGCGGGATGCCCCTCTGACAAGCCACGGGGCTGGCAGTCAAACTGACAACTCCGCCGCTCTCTTTGTACATGAAGCACAGTCTACGGCTGTTCCTGTAGGGCTGCGGCCTGTTGTTCTCGCTCGAACGCCAGGCCGTCCTGCGCGCCAACGGGGTGGCGATTACGAACTGCGTGCCCTCGGCGTCGAACCATCTACCGTGGCAGGAGTAGGCTGGAAGGCAGAGAGAAAACACGAGGCTGCCAAAGGTCTTCGCGAAACGCGACGGAGCTCGGAGAGAAAGTTTCGGGATAATAACGGGCCGGGGGGAGGAGTGCCGGGCGGGTCTCGAGGCCGTTACCCTTCGAGTGCCATTATTCGCCGAAATAAACTTGGACGATGTCGAGGGTCGAGAATATCTACGGGGACGAGAAGGAGAGAGAGAAGAGAGAGAGAGAGAGGGAGGAAGAGAGGCCGTGGGGCGGCAGACGTGCCTCGCGGTTCTTTCAGACATTCAGGCATCTCGATCTTAATGTGGAATCGCGCGCGCGCGCTCGAGTATCACTTCGACTTTCGTAATGAAGTTACGACATTACCGGGATTGATAAACGGGCGCAGACACGGGCGAGTTTGACTGCGATAAGGCGCTCGCGCTCGCGCTCGCGCTAATATAGTCGCTTTTAACGCTGAAAGACTCGAATTCGTCATACTGTCTCCGGCTGATGTTTCCGCGAGAGCGCGATAAATGTCGCGTCTTCGGTGGACTTTCAACTAACGTTGACTCGATTAATATTAGCTACGCAAATTTCGCGTGCGCGCGAGGAGGAGGAGAGAGAGAGAGAGAGAGAGAGGGAGAGAGAGAGAGAGAGAGGGAGAGGGAGAGAGATGGACTCCTTCGTCGAGTTCTTATCTCTTCGCAGAAGCGGAACGGGAGTTCCTCGGGTCTTGAAAAATTTAAACTGATCATACGTATGCATCTCTCTGAGCGGTTATCAGTTATATTTCCTTTTGCGAACGTTTCGCTGCTATTTGCGATGAAAACTTTGTCAGAAGGACAGTTTTGCAATATTTCGTAAAATAGACATTCCCTCCGCTTCTCTCTTTATATCGGTACATCCCGAGTTGGCCGCCTGCGTCGTGTCTACGGATCCGTATAAAAATCTTGATCCTCTTGGCCCACTTGTACTTTTCATCTTTCTCCCAATAATAGCAACAAGATGCAGCAATCTCACGTAAAGTAGAAAAAAGTTGAAATAATAATAAAGCACGAACGATTTTCTCAAGCTAAACTGGAAGGAAGCGGGCGAGTAGTAAAGTTTGAAACTCTTCTCTCCGATTTGTCGTAGTATACAAAATATCCATCAAACCACCCGTGTCTCTCTCTCTCTCTCTCTCCCTCTACGCCCATCTCTAACCATCTACTCCCAACCGCTCAGCCAGCGTTCGGTCAAAAAAACAACACCCCTTCGCCGCGCGTCGGACCTTCCGCGCGGCCGAGAGATACCTCGAAAAAAATAATTCTCGCCGTCGCACCAGGCGTCGCGTGCTTAAACGGGGCTGTGATCGCAAGCGAAGAGGAAGAAAAGGCAGATAATTACCGGTGATACCCGCGTCGTCGTCGACGCAGTCACTTTGAAACTCCATCCTGTCTGCCGTGGAGCAGCCGACGGTTAAGGTCGTCACCTCGGAGCTGCACCTCGAGTCATCCTCGTCCCTCTTCTCCCGCCTTTCCACGGCGTCGTCGTCCTTTTCATGCTCCTCGAGCTCCCTCTTCATCCTCACGAGGTCCTTATAGGTCATACCTTTGTCGGCCGTGTTTCTCGGCGATCTCTTGCGCGGCAGGCTCTCGCCCGGCTCCGCGTAGTAATCCCCGAAATAATCGTCCTGCACCTGCAGCGCGCTGCTGGTCCACGAGCCGTCGAGGTCGACGGGCCAGAACGACCGGCCGACGTCATCCGTGTCCGGTCGACTTTCGAAGTCCTCGACTTTCGGATATCTCCTCGATCTGTTGGCCGTCCCACTGTAATCCGCGCCGGCGGCGGCGTCCTTCAGCGTCGCTGCACCTCGCCGCGTCGTTTCCTCCGTCGCTCTCGTCAGCCTCCCCTCGGCCCCCGCCGGCGCGAGTCCTTTGATGTCCTCCCCGGCGGAGCCGTACTTCGCGTACCTCGTGTTGCGTTTCCTCGACAGGTGCTCGACGTCGCGGCGCGCTCTCCTCGTCTTGGACCGCGAGCTCTCCTGCACGGCGCGTTGCTCCGGCTCGCCGCCTGACCTCCTGACTTTCGATCGCAAGGAGCGTTCCCTCAGCAGCTCCTCCAGCTCCGAAGAGCGCCAGGGTGACGCCTCGTCCGCCGGCAGGATGTAGTCCTTGCGGCCGCGGTTGCCGCCATGATTCGAGCGCGCTCGCCGGCCCATCCTCTCGTGCACCAGGTACTCGTTGTTGGCTCGTCGTTTCTCCACCTCGTAGTCCAGCTTCCGCCCGCGCCGGTCCTCGTTCCTCTCCTGAGCGTGGCGCACCTTCTCGCCGTCGCGACGCGCCCCCAACGATTCCTGATGCTGCTGACCTCTGCGGCTCTCGCGCGTGTTCCGCTGATTCTGATTCACCTCGGTCACCGTGAATTTGCCCAGGTACGGGCAGTTGCGCGGCTCCGGGGAACTCGCTGCGACAGAGGAAAGCAAGCGAACACGAACGTTACTCATTAGAAGACTCGAGAAATTAAGAGGGCTCTGGTAAGGGCCTGATTATTTTTCCCTAACATTAATCGGGCCCTCTACTAGGGACAGAAAGACAAGATGTGTGAGAAATGGTTTAACGGATCCTTACAAGGCAATATTAATAGGACGTTATAAGGAAATATTTTTATTACTGCTTAAGTAAAAATATTCCTTTTTTTTTTCTTAATCAGAAATTTAGACTGCAATTTCTTTATTTCCTTATATAACCTTGTTGGTATACATGAGATTTTTATTCCAAAAATATAGCATATTTTATGATAAAATATAGCCATTTTTAAATACATATAAAAATCCTGCTACCGTTTTCATTAAAGTTTACTGCATTTCAAAACGGAGGTGATACTAGAAAAATCCTTGGAAGAGACTGATGAATATAGCAACTAATGAAACTAATAGAATTTGTTTTTAATTGCGGTATAATTAAAAATATCTTTAAAAGCATCAGACAGAGCGTGCCTGTTAGAACGATACTGAACTATAACAATTTTATTACACGCTTCAAATCTTATTAATTTTCTACAACAAAACTTGATTTTGCATATCTAAAGCATCCTTAAGATCCTTCTAAGGCCCATATCAGTTTTCCATGTTAAAGCATTATTTCGTAAAATCTAAGACATCCCAAAAAAATTCTTCTAAAGCCCTTATCAGTTTTCTCTATCAAAGCTTTATTTCGTAAAATCTAAGCCCTAGAAGATCCATCTCGGGGCTTGACGTGGTGTAATAATGAGGCATCCCTTTTTAGAGGCGGGCGCCTCTTCAGGGGCGGAGCCCCTCTCCCGCTTAAATGTACCGTTTCTTATATTTAAAGTGAATGAAAACTGCTTGTTCAACATCAAATACTTCAACGTACCATTTATAAAACTTTAAAGTCAAATATCTCAGAAACTATAAGCGACGAATAAAATATAAGCATGTAATTGTATTAGGAAAAGTCACTCAGAATTTCATCCTTTATAACATATTTCAAAATGAATAAAATCGGCGACGTGTACCCTTTTCTATATATTTACCCAATTTTTTGCACGAGATGTCTGTGTATTCATGTGGCGTCGACCGCGCGAGCATGTCGCGAGTCTCTTTTCAAGAACGTCGCGCTCAAGTAGGTGTGCGAACGGCGAACGCGAATATTGCGGACGTTTGCATCCGGCGTTCGTTCAGTCCTCTTTGCAACTCGCAAAGTCGAAGGGAAAGGTGCAGATGTGAATGCGGCTGCGCGAACGTGCGCATCCCTCTTTTTCTTCCTTGGTCGGCTTATATTTGATACACCGCATCGACCCGCGAGATCCTCGCGCAAAATCGTGAATAATCGCGCGAGTGACGCGAAAACGCGCACAGTCGCCGCCGCCGCGCCCATCGTCTCGTCGCTTTTCAAGCGGCGCTGCGAGGTCGCTCGCGCAGTCGCCGTAATTGGAGGCGACGACGCGACGCTCATGTGAAGATAAATAAGATCGAAAGGAGTTTACAGCGAGAGGCAGGTTAATTTGGTAATGTGACGAGAATAAATTTGCCGTGTCATTAGCGACGCGACGACGGGTCGCACACACGCCGTGCGTTCAACGGGTGCGTAAACGTTGTAACATGCAAAACTCTTGTGTAATTTGCGATTTACGATTATATATTTTGTATTTATGATAAAAAGCGAACTGATTCATGACGCGTGATGCGCGCGCGCGCGTGTGCGAAATGAAAAATGACGGGGGAGGGGGGGGCGGGCGATAAATATTTATCGCTCTGGAGCCCGACGCACGGAATTACGCAACGGAGTTGTTACAACTATTATTATTATTAACGTCCGGCACGCATAAATACTAATCAACGCGGGTGGAGCCTAACGCTCGGACAAAAAGGGAGTCGCTCTAAATTAATGATACTATCTGCGAGAGTAAAGCACCGACCGATATGCTCGTAATTTCTGCGGCCTAAGAAGAAACTTTGAAGTTGAGTCTTAAACGGAATTTTAAATGCCGTAACTTTAGAAGTTGGGACAAGAAGCTCGACGAAGGTTATCGATCCCTGCTAATGATACTTTCTTGTTAGTGAGAAAGTACGGTATATTTTAACCCGGGGAAAAGGAAAGTTTTGTTTGAAGGAAAGAAAAAGACCATATCGATGTGTGCGAGTCTGCTCGCCGGGCCTGCGTGAAATCATATTACGTTTTGTCGCGTTTTAATACACTTGAAAATATTCTACGCGTACGTCTCTCGGAATTATTTTGCCCAGCACCTATCCGAGCAGAGAAATTAATAGGGCTCTGGTATAGGCCTGATTATTTTTCTCTAACATTAATCGGGCCCTCTACTAGGGATAGAAAGAGAAGGGACTTACAAGATGTATAAAAAAAATGGTTTAACGGGGCCTTATAAGGAAATATTTTTATTATCGCTTGAGATTAAGATATTCGTCGTTCTTTTCATTCCGAGAAATTTAGATTTCATTTCCTTTATAACCTTGTTAATATACAACAAGGATTTATTTAAAAAAGATATTTTAGCTTTATTCGGGCCTTATGCTTCACGAGGATGGTGGCCCTGACAACTTTTTGCTCGGGTACGCATCGATCTCGTCGATCTTCTCCACGATCTTTTCCCGCTGGATTTCGAAGCGCGTCGAGTCCCTCCGCCGCGCAAATCTCATTTACTCGTGTCGTTATTCTGATATTTTTTCCACAAGCGCGCGCGCATTTAGCGCGATAGCGCACTCCGCACTCTCTCGCTCTTGCTTCTTCATCTTTTTTCTGCCCCTCTGTCCCCTCCGCGCATACATAATACAGGCTACGGTAAATACCGCCAATCACGTACAAACAAGGGAAACGCATTGTGGTCTTAATGGAAGCTCGTTAGATCGTAGGAGAGGAAAAAGGCCGGCTAGGAGCCCGAGAGGAAGGCCCGGGGAAGCTACGAAAGACGACGAACGGCTATAACGAGAGAGAGAGAGAGAGAGAGAGAGAGAGAGAGAGAGAGAGAGAGAGAGAGAGAGAGAGAAAGAGAGAGAGAGAGCGTAAATCGACCGTAGGCAGGCACAATGCGAGCTCTAACGAGACAAATCTGACGACGCACCGACTCGAGCCAAGGGTGCCACCCTCTCTCCTCACCGAGCGAGCTGCATTATCGTTTTATCTCGATACCCCGTGGCTTCGAAGCTTGTAGGCTAACGACCAAGTTTTGTCCGTCGCCGCCTCTCTCTTTCGCTCGCTCGCTCGCTCGCTCGTTGCAAGTTTCGTCGCGAGAGAACGCGCTTCCGATCGCGAAGCGAAGGTGCGAACGACGGCGCGGCGCACTCGGCGCAAGAGAGAGAGAGAGAGAGAGAGAGAGAGAGAGAGAGAGAGAGAGAGAGAGAGAGAGACAAATGAAAGAGGAGACGTACTGATTGTCCCGTAAGGATAATACGGCGAAAGGTCTAATCGCTATTTAACATCGAAAGGGTTGAAAAAGTTCGGGGCGGAGAGTGAGCCGACGAAATTTACATTTACTCACTTCTTAATTAGAAAGTAAGATTCTCCGTCGCGAAAGTAACGGGGATCTCACTTTCTAATTGAGTCCCTCGCGAGAGAGGCGCTTTTTAGCAACAATGCCGCCTCATCTCGTTGCCTCGAAACTTAATTGTGAAAACACTTGGAAGACTGAAAGAAGACGGCGACATGTAGCGACCGGCGCGGGCGGGAGTCGGATTAATTGATCTTTCACCGCGGTTGACGTCTTAGATTCTTCCTCGTGAGAAATTTATACCGCGACGATAATTCGCTCACGCGACGTCTTTGCGACTCCCATTCGATTTCGACGACATCGCGACGGCGCACAGTGGGGCCAGATGACATCTTTTGGTTCAAGATTCTCTAGAGACCTGAATTTCCAACTCGATCATCGACACCAATAGATTGATCCTGAACAAATCCCAAAGAGATCTGTCTAGCCAAAATTTGGAAAAAATTATCGGTTCACGGTTCACGGATTTAGGATTTATCTTAAAAGTTTCGAGGCTTGAACTTAATGTTTTATAGCTGAATATTCAACGTCGAGTATTATTAGGTTCTCGAGCTATGGCTAAATTGGGTTCTTGGACTATTCGGGGCTCTTAATATATACAGTTTCATGCATCCACGAGCTAAAAAGTTGTCAGATTGATAGATTCTTAAGTTGATGGGTTTGAGATTCAAAATCCCTCAGTTTTGTGCTTAACGGGTCTATATTTGATGTTTTTGTATTTTGGGCATATGAGTTTTGGGGTTAATAGGTTTCTGGTTCAAGATCAAGATAAGTCTCGAGGTGTCTGTTGATTGGTTTCATAGTTTCAATACCGCTGAATACGCTATTAGATAGAAATGAGTGTCGAATAATGAGTATTTCACAAGTTTCTCGCGTTTAACGATAATTTTTCCTCTTTTGGGGCTACACTGTAAGAAATGATGTATTAAATCTAACATATTTCATGTGTCTCCTCAAATCATCCACTCTCATTTATGTGTTAATTTAACATACAGCAAATATATTAAAAAATAACGCACATAATATGTAAGAAATTAACACAAAAATTTAACATTTGAATGCCGTCAAGAATCACAATTTGTGTTAAATTGACATACAATGAAGTTATTTCAACATTTAGGAAAAGTAATGATCTATGATTTAATGAAATGAAAATGTTAGATTGATATAATCTATGTGTTAAAAATCCAATCTTCACATATCAGAAATGTTAACACTATACATTTAACACATGAATGATAACTATTATAATGAGGAAAGTAACACATTTTACGTGTTGCCTTCAATATAAAATGTGTCATGGCAAGAATTTATGCAGTTACATATAAATTGTGTTATTTTAATATTTGGAAATATCATTTTAGTACTTGAAAATAGATAATCTTAATTTAACAGAAGAAAGTCCAGGTAACACAACAACGATATGTTAAATTAACACA